AATAATGTAACACTGGGTTAAAGACTCAACATTTTATTGCACTACGTACAGGCTGTTTCATGAGGTAACTAGGCCTAACATTCTAACTAGGCCTAAGTATATTCTGGAAACTTTTTATATAACGAATAACAATCGGTATAATATTTGATCACGCATATATTGTTTGCATAAAACAAGTTACAGAATCATTTCAAGGAAAGCATGGCCACTAATTGGAAAACCAATTACAGTACTTTAAAATCGATAATGATCTTTCTCTCCATAGTGTGCTGGCAAATATCGAACTTTAATATTCTTGGCGGACATATGGCTCCTGCGACGCTACCCGTTATAGATGCCTACAGTAGGACACTTGGCGTTCCATACATCACGTCAAATTTGTCTCCAAAAGAACTTTTTCCGAATAAAAACTTTGATTTTACTTGGAGTTTGAAACCCTCTCTGGTATTACCTCTCTTAGACATTATCCAGCACTATTCACCAGAGAGAATAGCGTATTTGTATGCAGATGAAGAAGGTAAAAATATAATTGTGTCATTATATTGTCTCATGTACGGTAATAGTTACAACTGCGCATGTGCAAGACAAAATTCAGTACATCGGCCTATGAATGTTATTTTTATAAAAGCAGTTTTATAAGAACAAATTATCATAAAGACCAAACCGTTAAAAAATGCATGCAGAAGGGATAATATTGTCTGTTTATGTCGCCTTTCACAAGTGTAGGCCTACTGAATTCAGCCAACCACAAAATGTATAGCCAAAGAATAGGTATAGCTCAGAGAGATTAATTTTAGCAGGGACGGATGTAGGATTTGGCGGTAGGAGGTGTGTGAATCCCACCATGGTTGGGGCTGAGACAAGAACTTTTGAGAATGTGGACCGAAATTGCACTCTCATACCTTTAAAATCTTACCAGTAATTCATATCAACAATAAAATACAATTATTTTTCTTAATACAATTTAGGAGGTACGATCGCACCGTGCGCACCCACTCCCCTGCATCCGCCCCAGTTTAGCAGGCATATAATATTGTAATGAAAGGGGGCCCAAAAGGCATCAGCTCATGAAAAAGATTATTAGCATCGCCTCGGTTAAACCAACGGTTCGCAGTGTACAATGTAGGCCTATTCACTTAGGCCTACATCTGTATCGTATTTTCTTTATAACTGTGTTTAGTGTCGAAGGCCCAAGGCATTACAAACACTCCCACGGTTTGTAATATCCTCTGCATTTTCATTAGGCGTTATTACTTAAGAGAACCAATCTTACAAAACTGTTAATCACACACTATAAAATGCAGACGATTATACCTCGTAATGTTTTGTTTGTTTTATGTGTTATGTCTTATTTAACAGTTATAGTTAATACTACAATTTTTACAAATTACATTATAAATATTTACACTACATGATAGATTTTTAGCAACTCTAAATAGCTATAACTTGGATGTATTATTTATATTAATTCAGGAATTTAACAGACAATACATTGTATTATGCATAAGCTATTCAATCTTGTTGTCTTATATTTTGATTTCTACTTAAAGTCAGTAATAAATGTCGCAGTTTAATTTAAACGAGTTCAACCATTCTAATGAGTTTCGATTTTTACATTGAGACTGCGTTATATAATCATCATAGAACTGGTAAATTCGCTAAATGTCGATATGTTTTGCAATTGCGGTGTCTCTAATCCGTAACAGAACGGAAGACTAGTATGAACACTTTTTAATAAATCACAATGACTATGTTGATTTTACATCAGTAAAATTTACTTTCACAGCATAAGAATACTTTTGAAGAAGAGGTGCAGTTATTTTTTTAAATTATTCAAAGTTTTTTGAGGGCCATTAGTCTTATAGAAATTAATAATATACAGCTCATATTAAATTGGTTCTATCAAAATGATGTCATTTAATAGGTAGTTTTAACCGCACGACGTTAACCTTAACTTTAAAGTTTGTACCCAACATGCAGCGCGATAGCTCCGCCCCTTTTGTAAACAAATCAAAATACGCATGCGCAAACCCGTAACTAACGTGCGTCGAGCACATAAAATCCTGAAATTAACGTACTCCGCAACGCAAGATGAGTAAATTATGATGTCGTCCGTTAGCGTTAAGGTTAACGTCGTGCGGCGTAAAAATACCTAATAGACGATAAATTAACGCATATGAAATTGTATTTGTAACTGACTATAGAAGAATTGTAGCTTGTTTAAGTTTCTATTTACACTATCACATTTTTTTGACAAAAAAAAAGAAAAACTGTTGAATGCCCATATATAATCATGGTATGCCTGTATATGGTCATGATGTGATGTGACCATATTTGGTTTTTGTTTATGTCGAATACAATTTTATAGTCTGCACAGGGCTTTAAGTACCCTCGCCTTACAATGCCAGGGTTCTAAATACTTGCAAATAATGTCAGGATTTTTCATAAAACTAAAGGTGGATTCACTCCGGATCCGAATTCGGTTCGTATGGCTAAGAAAATCGAATTAGTGATAAAGAATAAAAACGCGCATCGAATTACGAATGCATCGAAAATGATTTCGGTTTTGGTGGTGTGAATGCACTTTAAAGGCGGATACACCGGGTCAGCCGACGGTCGGTCGATTTTTGCGGAATCACGGCCCTGCTTTACCAAGAGGTGGCGGTGCGAGTAGGCTAAAATGATGTCAACAAATTATATTCATCATCATTATTTCAATTTTATTTTATGCTTTTGTATTTTCAGCATTTTTAAGATATCAAAACGTGAAGTCAAATCTATCAAATTCATTTATGAACAGTACTATATTCAAGAAAATAACTAACAATATAAGAGACGACTTGGGCAGTCTACGAGACGAAGGATGGACTTTCTATGTCGTGGACGCGCCTGTTAAGACAATACAATCAGTTTTAAATAATGTAAGTTGTCAATCAATTCATTCTTTATATTTAAATTCAATATTTTTGTCTCATATACAATTAAAAAATCTGTCGCAATATATATATATATATATTAGGAAGCTTTCGATTTCACGACGACGGTTTAGGGCGTAGAACGTAATGACGTCACTTAACGTCATCTGCGCACGCAAATTAAATTCCTCGTCGCGTATCCGAAATCTACGTATGCCAGAGAACGTTGGCTGCCCAGTAGGACAGTCATGCATGAGTAATTTCGTTGTAGCGTCGCGTGGTCTCGCAAAATCGAAAGCTCCCTACAGTTCATTCGTTTATTTAATGGTGATTCGTTATAGAATCATATAATTTCGTAATATATACAATTGGTCAGTGATAAAATTTTAAATTAATACAATATGATACTCGTGTGTTTAACTGCCCAACGTGGCAATACAGTACTATGCAAAGCAGGGTAACAGAAATACATAATAGCCGCTAACGTTCTGGAATTGTATAATTTGTCAGCTTGAAGGAATAGATAGCTTGAAAACACTGTCTGGCATTGGTAGAAATGTAAACCCAGAGTTATGTGCGCTGGGGGAATTTGTGCTTAGATTTACTATAATTCACTGGCCTGACGCATTGTCATTAAACAGTAAAACGATACAACTGTAACAATGATATTTTACAGCAACTATCATTAACTAATATTGTTCAAACGCGATATCTTTTTGGAAAAAAAATCTCAGTCAAGATTATTACATAAACTTATGATTGTACATTGTATTTTTGCGAATACAGTTATATCAAGTGCTGTTTATATGTTCTTGGTTATATGTTCCAATAAATAATATAATGTATTACTAGTATTCATTACTAAAAAGTTATAAACGTTTAGAAATACAACTGTTGTATTACTTCGCCATAAACAATTTGGTGGATAAATATATTTACTTGTATAAAAAATAGAAAAACTCTAATTGTTTTTCTTTTACTTTGTGTTGATTATACAATTTTTGTCTGTATTTCGTTTAATCTATCATTTTGGATTTGAACCCAGGCTGGACTTCTTGGAATGGTAACCTCCAGCTACAATTTCGTGGTAATGAACCTGGTATGTATTAGTAAATGAAGTAATTACGGGAGCAGTTTCCCAAAGGAGGATGAAATCGTTTCCTAATAGACTGAAATAATAACACATGTAGAGCAATGCACCTTTACGCTAAACCCCGCCCATTGGATACTGTTGCTAAGGTGCACACAACGCCACATTCGTGTCTATGGGACATGCGCGTAATCTTGGACCTGCCGCTTATTAAATAACAGGTTTTGATTGATTAGTTAAAAATTTTGAAAGCGATTAAACTGACGAGATAATATTAATTAGATTTCAATGGATCCTTTGTATATAATGTGGTTAGAATACTATAATGTATTTTCCCTGACGCTATTCATTTTATACATTAACTAGAAAAACGAATGTCTAATGTCATGCTGCTGTTTGCAAAAGTTAGCAGAATCCGACGTGGACGCACATAGTTGCACCCAAGGAAGAACATACGTCTCAGCGTTGCAAGAGGTGATGTTGTCCATATCTGTCTCTTATACACATCTAGTTTTATTTATACATACAGTACTACACTATTTCAGTAGATGTACAGTAACGAGACTTGCTTTTTTTCTCAAACAGAATGCCAATAAGCTAAAAGTTGACAGTTTCGTTTACGGAGGGATGAATTTAACAGCCTTCCAGTTGCCAATTAACCAGACAAACGACAGGCTAATGAACCTGACTCTGAACTGCAGCGGCAAAATGAATAATAATACAAACGCCACCGTTGATCGCCCTGACGTAGGTCGAGACGTAATTAGAACTAAGTAGTGTGAAACATAAGATATGATATTGATTGCAAACGTTACTCCATCCATAAAACTAACTTCGATGATGATAATGACGTAATATTGATAGCTCTGATGTAATTATTACACAGTGACCTAAAATTAAAGGGAATTGGTAATCAATATATAACTGCATATTATATATATATATATATATATATATATATATATATAATACTGGTTTGGCTCTGTAATCATTAGTGGTAGTGGGACTGGTTTGGGCCCTTCCTAAGCTGGTCAAACGTTTCTTTTGGGTCTATACCCCAGCTTCAAAAATAGGAAGAGTGTAAAGAAGTGACTAATATGAAAAGCTGTAGTCTCATACTTAAACTGTGACATGTTATGTTTTTTCTTGTTCCTTTATTAAATGGAGCGTACTGTACTATAAACTTTAAGTAGTTTTAATCAAAATGTCTGCTAGAATTATTCTCGTCAAATGCCAACGTGGATATTACTTTGTAAGGCGATTAAAACCATAAGAATAGAATAATATTATCAAATAACAACAATAAAAATTATAGTGATGATGATGATGTATTTTCAGATGATAATGATTTTGATGATTATAATAAGATTATGAAGATGATATAAAAATGATGATGATTTTGATGATGATGGAGATGGTGATGTTGATGGCGATGATGCTGTTGATAAAGATTGCTGTGATGATGATCATGATAATGACGATGGTGAAGATGATAATGTTAATAATGATGGTGAAATATTTATTTATTTCCTTTTAGTACTGGGGAATAAAGCTACTTTTCCTCATAAGAACCAGTTGTACTTTATAATTGTCCTATCTTTGTAAACTAACATGCATAATATGGGTGGGGGAGTAACATAATGCTGTTCTCATAATATTATGAAGCTAATTAACTTTTTTTCTTAGGCCGACGCCATTTTGCTACATGATCTTTCACTTGTCCTGTTGAACGCATTTGAAAAAGTACTTGCTAAGTATTCGTATATGCCCGTGAGTCAACGATCCCAATGTTACTGTAGTAAGCACTTTGATTCATCGTGTTGTTCTAGGCTACGGGTAGGTTTTACAAACTTTTCGAAGTTCATTTGTCACTTTATATTGTCACTCTAAACTCTGTCAGTACCACCGAGTTTTTAAGTGACAGATAGGGCTTCCTGTCATTTACTTATATGAAGGGTAATGACGTCACACACTGGGTGTGACGTCATTACCACACTCATTAATGACACTTCAAGATATTCGTCTCATAAAACCTGATAATGTGAATAAAGCTTTAAGCCCTGTTCAGACTATCAAATCTTATTTGACAAAAACATGTGACATTCCTAAATATTGTCATGATGACATCACATCATGACCATATACAGGCACATCATGACTATATATGGGCATACAACAGTTTGTGAAAACGTGGACAGAGCTTTAAATACAACATTTTTCACAGTGCCAGTGTGTTGCTGAAGATTTCGTCTGAAGACGTCAGTTTCAGACTTTAAATGACAAATCAATTCAATCAGCCAGTCTAAGATGTGAGATTCTAGAAGGGGGATAATGTACTCCGTAATTCATCAACAGCTTTATGTCACAGTCCATTAATCTCAAAGTTCAGTCGAATGGTGAATAATTTACTGTTGCGGAAAAAAGTGTACTTGTTAGGCGAAGTAGATCAAGAATTAGCTATTCGAAATTTAACCCCAAAACAGGATTTGAGATAAAATTCGAGTATAGACAGGAGTTTTACTTACCCTAAAGATATGTTGTCAATGTATGTAATATGTCGACGTGTCTTCAACTGTATACTGTTTTAGTGATAAATTAATTGATATTTTTACAGATCTGTTATTGTTATTCAATACATTACAATATGCGTACATTTTCTCAATATCAAATACTAATTAGATTTCAATGGGTCCTTTGTATATAATGTGGTTAGAATACTATAATGTATTTTCCCTGACGCTATTCATTTTATACATTAACTAGAAAAACGAATGTCTAATGTCATGCTGCTGTTTGCAAAAGTTAGCAGAATCCGACGTGGACGCACATAGTTGCACCCAAGGAAGAACATACGTCTCAGCGTTGCAAGAGGTGATGTTGTCCATATTATAAATAACATCATCGTGTTATTTACTAGGCCTACTTCTTGAGTTAAAGTCTCCGCCTGCTATTTATGTTACAACATGTTGTGATAGTATTTAAGTTGTATTACGTAGTATTAGATTATGTCTTTCATTGTTCCATAAAAAAAGAAGGCAAGATGTCGGGTCAAATGATTTAAACTTTAAGCCAGCACTATGTAAATGACCAAGTTGAAATTACGTGGGACACTAATCGAGCACGCCTTCACGCTTATGTGAAGCATTATTAACTTAAAATGTGTCGTTTATTTGACATTTATATTCAGATGGTAGTTGACGGCCTGTCCGGATCAATTCAGTTCGATAATGTGACGGGAGAACGTACAGCGTATACTCTTGAAGTTATCGGTATTAAGGACTTACAATTCTTACCGGTAAATACGAATTTTTGACTCATAATTCAACTTTAATCGCGTTCACACTAGTTCACACCATAAATGTAAATAAAAACATCCTGATGTCCTAATGAAACATCCATTAATCTCATTGGCTGGGATACAGCACGAGCCACATCCAGACTCGCTTACTGACCTGCACGCAACTATGAAGTCAACGCTTGACATATTTTTCAGTATACTATTACGTCATCATACACTGTCATATACAACGAGTTAAAAACTTGAACATTAGGCTACAGTCTGTATGGAAAAATTAATTGTAATTATTATTTATTTGTAGCGCACGCTCTGAATATGTCACATTTTGATATAATATAGACAAGAATGGACACGAATTGATATTAGGCCTACAAAATATGAATGATAAATAACGTAACTAAAACTAATTATCATTGTTTAGATTGCTACATGGAACTCCGACAGAAAAGTGCGTCTACAATTAGCTAACTTTACCGAACCTTCTGATGACGTTGGAGACGAAGAAGAGCTTCTGAAACGAGAATTAATTGTCACTTCGATTCTGGTAAGAACCCCCCCTCCCCAAGTTTAGTTCACATTAGAAGTAAGGGCATAACAGTTTCGTTCCTCAAGTATATTATGCTATCATTCTTTATTCCAAAAATTATATTAAATTGAGAGCAATTAATAAGTCGGGTCACACAAAGCCGGTACAAAATATTTATCAACTTACCGATTTGCCAATAGTGACATCACATCATTGATGATGTCATTTTACATACGAACTTAAGCCCTGTCCAGACTAACAAATATTATTTGACAAAAACATGGTCATGGTGACATATCATGACCATATATAGGCACATCATGACTATATATGGACATACAGCAGTTTTAT